AAAAAAAATTATTTTCCTGAAAAACTGTTTTCATTGAAAGATATTATAAATTCCAACTGATGGCAGCTCTGGCTGTTTTGTCAAAGAAGGCTGAATGTTTCCGTATAAGGAAACGGCTAATATGACTATTATCTTTAGAGATTGAGAAAAAAGCCACTACATTTTAATGCCAGCTCTATGATCCCAGCCAAGGAGTGAAGAAAAATGTACCTCAAGTAATAATATCTGCCCGGTCAGTGAATGCCGAATGTTTCCTTATAAGGAAACGGCTGTTATTACCATTACCATTCAAAATTATACGAACAGATAGTACACTTTAATCCCAGCTTCATGAACAGGGAGTAAAAAAAAGCGTAACTTGATTAGTCCTGGCTGATCGATCAATGAATGTCGCATGTTTCCTTATAAGGTTACGTTTAATTGTGTTTAAAACCCCAGATTCTCGTGTAAACAAGTAACTATATTAGACACACACAAATCCTAATATATATCGTATGAGTAAAATTAATTTTATGCATAAAATTATATGAAAACCATAAAATGCGCATCTGAAGTAACTCAATATAGTAGAAACGATATGGTAAGAGAAAAACATCATGTTAAAGCCATTAAGCAACTCCAACTATTTTTTCTGCACACTGCGCACTCTGAAAGCAAAATTTACTTACCTGTTCATTACTGGCTGTTGTCCCATTCAAAGATCCCCCCCTTGTGTGTTATGCTGTAAATATTATTGTAACCCATTTTCCGGAATACCTTTGAATAATTTAATCATGTGTTGTTGGATGTCAAAGATATCAGGATATATTTGTCCTTTCAGAACATTTTTTCTGTTTTAGAAGTATCCAAAAGCCACACGGACTAAGTATGGTGACTGAAGAGGATTGCTCATATTTTTTAACCAGGAAGTCCTAACCCATCATGATTGGGTATTGTCCTCAGAATAGATTATTCTGTCCCTTTCAACACTTTTAAATAAACATGCTGATTGTCGGTTTGTGAGAATCTATGCCTTGTTTCCTATTCATATTTGGTTCTTCAGACACTTCGATTTGCGCGCATCAAGGTTCGCTCTCTCTCCATATTTGCATCTGTTCTTTGTATTTTACGCTCACCACTGCTCCTGTCATTGGGAACATTTTCTCGCTCTTCTTTAAACTGTCTGTGCTACTCAAAGCCACTCGATGACTCGAAAGTATGCTCAGCAATAGTCATTTAAAATAGAGCTAACGTTTCTCTAATACTTTTATCTGTCTTCAATAACATTTGATATTTCACACATTTTTACCAACAGTATATATATATATATATATATATATATGTGTGTGTGCGTGTGTGCGTGTGTGTGTGTGTGTGTGTGCGTGTGCGTGTGTGTGTGTGTGTGTGTGGTATATTGTCAACAGTCAATATACCACATAACACTCTTGAGCGCTTAGCTTTGGAGCGGGTAGAATGGACGTGTTTTAGTGGACTCAGCAATGTTCAATCTGCTTGTCTGAATCATCTTCAAGAAGCGAGAGCAAGATCTAAAAGGTCAGCCAATCTAACAGTGATCTCATCTCACAATCCTCACACTTGCTCCATATGTAGCCTCCTTTGTAAATCACTAGCGGGTCTTAAATGCCACTTAAGATTATCGCACAAACTTTCATAACTGAATCAATAAACTGTCAGATCCTCATATCTCGAAACCGACGGGACAGTCCATTATATATATATATATATATATATATATATATATATATATATATATATATATATGGTCAAATGAAAATATTTGGTCTCAACATCTTAAGTTATTTTTTCAAATATACAAAATAAGAAAAGATTTTTCAATAAAACTTCAAATTGCTTCCAGAAAAAGACTATGTTTTACGCAGAATTAGTCAAAGTATTAAAAGCTGAATGTTCGAAAGTTCTCTCCTAAACTGTTTGATATATCCTTAAACATTAATAGAAATAAAATACTATTGGATCAGAAATTGTTTCAACTAAAGTTGGATTTCCCACTAAAACAAATTTAAAGACAATGAAATAGGAATTTTAAAACTTTTCCTGTTCTTTTTCTTTGTGCCATATCCATTGAGGAATTGGGCGATCATGGTTCTCCTCAATTCCCTATCCTTTATCACTCTTAGTAAATTTTGTCTATTTGCTGTCTCTCCTAAACCCTGTCCTGTCGTCCAGGTACACAAGCTAGTTAGTTAAGTTATGCACTGTTTTCTTCTCTCATTCTTGCCTTCAGAGAGCTCCAATTTGCCAAGCCTTCTTTCCTTATTATGTTGCTTTGAAATTTCAAATGTCTCTCTCTGATGCTAAATATTAATGTTTTTTTTTTCTTCAATTTTCTGTAAAACGTCGTCATTTTTGGTGTAACATTTTAAATGGCCCCATTTAAAGCACTTCATGGATATTTATTTTTTTGTACTTGCTTAAATTTGTTATCTTCAACTTGGGCTCTTTCCGATGCCAGCAACCATACATTCTGTTTTCTCACAATTAATGCTTAGTCCTTTCTTCTGGCTTTCCTTTACTACCTTCTGCATGAATTAATGCTTAGTCCTTTCTTCTGGCTTTCCTTTACTACCTTCTGCATGAATTAATGCTTAGTCCTTTCTTCTGGCTTTCCTTTACTACCTTCTGCATGAATTAATGCTTAGTCCTTTCTTCTGGCTTTCCTTTACTACCTTCTGCATGAATTAATGCTTAGTCCTTTCTTCTGGCTTTCCTTTACTACCTTCTGCATGAATTCTTCTAGTTTCCTGTCTGTGTCTGATATCAATAATGTGTCATCTGCATATTTAATGTTGTTAAGATTGTGGCCACCAAAAGCATATCCTGGTACTACTTTTAATTCTCTTAGGATTGTTTCATTGGAAAATTTGAATAAGTCCGGTGAGACGGCACATCATTGTCTTAAACTCCTTTTTAATTTTGTGTATTTATTGCGCCTTTTCAAATATTCCGACAAATATTCAATAATTATTCTGCGCATGAGTCATATTAAAATGGTAAGCTAATTTTGTCCTAACTAATTAATATATATATATACATACATATATATATATATATATATATATATTATTCACACAAAACTAATGCAAAGGTTAATGATTTAAATGGCGAGGCATCCATCTCGCAAACAATTCAAATAGTATACAAAACCTCCAATTCATGTATTTGTAAATTGATTGCACGTTTATTGTAATATATATATATATATATATATATATATATATATATATATATATATATATATAATGGGCCAACATCTTAGGAGATTAAATTGTTCCTTCGGTCTTGCCTATGTTCAAAGGTTTATATCAAAGCGTGTATTTATGTGCAACTTTTGTGGAGATTACGATGAGGCTTCACAGTTGCAGATTTCTTGATTAAACCAACATAATGATAGGAAGCTCTATAGTTATCATATCTGCGTTCTCTTGGCTTCATCAAATGACTATTGCTGTGGTTTTAGGTCAACTGTGATCACACATATGACATGTGACATACATGACATAAAAATATGAGCCATGAATCTCTGTTTTCCACAGTCATGGATGGATTTCAGCTTCTTCACCAGCAACACGGCCTTCTCCGTGCTCGATCGATGTGTTGATCAATGTCTTTCTCGGTCATTTCGCATAAGCTTTCTCCACCAACTTCCCTGACGACATCTCTTCCACTTCTTCATCAATAATGTCCATAAATCCAAGATTCTGCAATCCGGGTTGCATTCATATATCATGAATCCTTGATCACATAGCTTCAGCAGTGGCATTGTATCTGGAGGCATCAAAGTTTTAAGATACCCGCAATCATTGTCGATATGTTGGATGCAGCCATGTTTTTTTCCGCGGTATTTCTTTACTTCCGGTATAATTTACTGATGGAACAAATCGGGCATCAACTTGACTGTAGCCCGCACTTTTAATTGCATTGTCAAAATAAAGATATCATATTTTTCTGTTGTTCTTAGAGGCATAATGACAGTATATACTAGTCATAACTCATGATTATTGCGTTGCCACATAAAACTAAAGTAAGACGCCCATTTCATTCCTTAACTCAGAAGGACTGAAATGAGCGTCTTACGGGGAGTTATAACTGAATATATAATTATAAACCTCCTAACATTTATATATAAAATTACTCGGAAAAACGACGTGGAAACAACAAAACGAGTATTATCTGGTTGTTATGTGATCTTGGAGATACGAGACTTATTAATACTGAGTAAAATTGTGAGTTTGAGGTCAAATGTGGATCAAATATGGATCTGAATCCGATAGAATGATAAAATGAAGAATAAGCACATTGTATACAGGATGTTTCTCCGATCACTACAATCATAACCTGTTCAAGTCTAGAATTAATCGTTTTTTGACCCTCCTATTTGCATAAACCCTCTACCTTGAATGGCCCTCGGGCCTTGTACAGGGTGAACCTCATCTTTAATGAATTCATTCTTAAAGAATCTAGCATGTGTTTTCTTTAAACAAACTGTATGTACTTAAAAACGTTCGCGAATCAATATGCGAAAAACCAACAATCACACACACACTTACGAATACACATTATCATCTGAACCACACATAGACAAACTAGAATTATTATATACTTGCACACAAAAAGCAATATTTGGAATTTTACAGGTAGGTTTCGAATCTTTTAATTTCTTGAAACTTTTGATGGACGCGTCGTCTCTCCTTGAATTCAGAGCGCCACAAATTATATTAACGTTGTTATAACACGTGAAAGGCACGTGAACAATGATTAACCAATGAAAATGAAACAATAGAAAAGTAAAAATGCTAGAACTTTTTTCCGCTTTTTCTCATTCTCTGATGAAAAGTGAAACACGTTAGATTGATAAACGTTTTCTATTTGTCCTTTATCTTATCATAGATATGAGGAGAGCTACATAGATAGAAAGGTATGACCAAACATAGATAGACAGATATAAACAGATTCAGATACGAACAGCCTCAAACTGTTAGTTAGATAGATAGATAGATAGATAGATAGATAGATAGATAGATAGATAGATAGATAGATAGTAAACAATGACAGACAGAGCTAAGAGAGACCGACTGGCAGACACATACTTTTTTAAGATAGATAGATAGATAGATAGATAGATAGATAGATAGATAGTAAACAATGACAGACAGAGCTAAGAGAGACCGACTGGCAGACACATACATTTTTAAGATAGATAGATAGATAGATAGTAAACAATGACAGACAGATCTAAGAGAGACCGACTGGCAGACACATACTTTTTTTAAGATAGATAGATGGATAGATAGATAGATAGATAGATAGATAGATAGTAAACACTGACAGACAGAGCTAGGAGAGACCGACTGACAGAGACATAAATTTTTAAGATAGATAGATAGATAGATAGATATCTTTACATAGATATGGGTAGAGCTACATAGATAGAAAGGTATGACCAAACATAGATAGACAGCTAAAAAAAGATTCTGATACGAACAGCCTCAAACTGATAGATAGTAGATAGATAGATAGTAAACAATGACAGACAGAGCTAAGAGAGACCGACTGGCAGACACATACATTTTTAAGATAGATAGATAGATAGATAGATAGTAAACAATGACAGACAGAGCTAGGAGAGACCGACTGACAGAGACATAAATTTTTAAGATAGATAGATAGATAGATAGATAGATAGATAGATAGATAGATAGTAAACAATGACAGACAGGGCTAAGAGAGACCGACTAGCAGACACATACATTTTTAAGATAGATAGATATATAGATATATAGATAGATAGATGTGATCAAACTAAGACAGATATAGATATGGGCAAACTGGGGCCTATGACTGGTGTACATTTGATTATATCTATGAAATATATGTAAGTTGAAGGAACTCATGCAACTTTCTTGAATGGCGTGGAAGCATAAAATCTATTGGCAGTTTCATAGCATTTCATAGCATCACAAGGATCTTTCCTCGGGTTGTTTTACAGAATATTCTTAACCAGTAAAGATTTGCTGGATGCTAGCAAACTTTCTACATGCCTCGAATCGTTCAGACCTTATGGACTTTCACAATTTGAATTTGCCGACAGCTAAGATGAGATTACATACCATCTGCATCATGTGTAAAGTCACATTAATAGGTTGTCTTTGTTTGATATTTTCTCATTTCGTCCACGTTCCTTGCCTGGAAGCGCTGATATTTTCAGCGAGACTATTACTCTTGAATATATTGTATCCATTTTACTCACTATCGGTTTTTTTTATTCTTGTGGTCTGAAAAAACTTTATTAACGTTGTTATATAATTAGTTTTATTTATCTCAAGTTAATCTCCATCTATAAAAGGCAGGATGTGTGTGTGTGTGTGTGTGTGTGTGTGTGTGTGTGTGTGTGTGTGTGTGTGTGTGTGTGAGACGAATGCACGGCCGCAATTTTCGACGGATTTGCACCAAAATTTACATGCACATGCTCCAAGTTAGCGGAAAGGACAAGACCGACGTTGCATTTCCCAACTCCCATCGATAGTGGAAATAATCGATCTTTTCATGCTTCTACGACAGTTTTCATGTAGTTTGCGGCCATTTTCTACCGGCCAGAGTGGGAGCCAATAGCTGGCTGCCACGAATAGGCAGGAAGATTCTATTGGCCAGCGTGAGAGCCAACAGCTGACTGACACGAATGTTAACTAGCATGGTATAATGCAAAAAAAATCCATAGCTGCATTCGTCACAAGTGGGAAAAATTTAAAACTGCATGGCACTTTACTCCATTTGGCTCATTCGCTTGCTTAAACTCAACGTTGATTCTGATTCCGCAGAACTGGGTTAGGTGTGAAAAAGTATTTGTTGTTAACATTCTTTTTTCATTCGGTTCTTCCAGTTACGAGTTGTTTTTTTAAAGCTGATCGTTTTGTGTTCATTTTGTTTAGTTCTTTTTTCGTAACAGATTTAATGTTTAGTATAGGGCATAGAAAAAATTCGCAGTGTGATATAGGCAAGAAGTAAGGCATGTAGCAACATCAGCACGACAAAGGGCACTCTTTTAAAGGCAAGGAAGGGCAAAAATATTTTAATTCAAGTGATAGCGATTGCTGTATGAGTCGTACGATTTTTGAATCAAGCACGGGCAACGCCGGGCCATGCTGCTAGTTCGTTAATAAATATTTTCCTATTTTTAAATTATTCATTTTAAGGTGGGAGAATATTGTAGATAATATTCGGCAGTGATCTTCCAAAATTTCGTAGTCAGTTACAAACATTTATTGTCAAGAAATTTAAAGAATACTGAGATTCTCGTATGGCGTCGTTAATTATTTAATATATATAAATATAAAATTCAAATTCTTGGAGGAAAATGCTGAAATTTTAAGTACTGTTTGTACAAACTCATTTTTTTGTAAAAACTCTACCACACTGAAATTAATTCATTTTTGTATACGGTCAGTTTTGTACAAAAATGAGTTTCAAGTGACAGTACTTAAATCTATAACATTTTTCTACAACTCTGTAACGGGGTTCCATATATGTATATCTATCTATCTATCAATCTATATATCTGGGTCTGTTCATATCTACATATTTTATAATTGTTTATATTCTGACACTTTGTCACTAGTAATCAAAAGAAAGAGTTTTTTTTATAGAAGGAGGGATATACTGATAGACCCCTGATTAAAAAAAATAAATAAATAAGGAAAGTTAATGAATAAACCCTGGGGGAAAAAATTAAAGATTTTAATTCTCATGCAAACAACCATCTGAATTGTCTGTCGGATTTTTGAACAATGATACGCCTAGGGTTTATATGGATTTGAACTGCGACAGGTCAAATGGCAACAATGATTGACACTTGGTCGATCACACATACGGGTAAAAATACGGGCTATGAAAGGGAAAATTTTCTGCGTAAACAACGAACTTAGAATTAATCTTTACTGGTATGAGGGTATCCGAGGTAGCGGGCACAGATGAGTCACCAAGGAAGGTGGAGGAGCCACCCACGCTCACTCTGTAGGATTAGTAGGAGATGATAGGAAGAAGAAGTGGAAATTATGGGGCGAAGTAATGCCTGTTATCATGTAGAAGAGAGGAATCCCACGAAATTATGCAAGACTCAGACAATGGAGATGACCGGCAGTGGGTAACACCGAATTCCTCAAATAAGCCGTACTCCACGCCGGTTTAGGCGAACGTAAATACGAGTACCCCGAAGCGAGCGAGCGAGAGAGAGAGAGAGAGAGAGAGAGAGAGAGAGATTAAGTTCCAGTCTCAGGACGTAAGACATCCCAAGTGATTATATGCTGACGAGAAGCTCCGACATCAGCCTTGTGCCGAACTTTACCAAATCAGCAAAACAAACTTTAACAAGTCAACAAAAGGCTGATAATGCGAACTCTTGTATTTAACAACAATTAACCAATTACGGTACGAAGGACTTGATGTAAAAATATTTTTTATATTTATTCGAGTGTTATTTTCTTTCATTGGGTCTTCGTCCTGCTTGGACCAGCCCAATACGAAGATACATGACGACGATTCGATCTTGGCCGCCTTATGATTAAAGCTAATCACAACGTGGGATAGGGCAAAACGAACACTTCATCGATCAGCCGCGGTATTGGACGATCGGGGAGCGTGTAGGCCGAGGATATGTATGTTTCTGTCATGTATATCTATATATATATACAATTAAAAATATATTTAAAACTACACACCCACACACATGCGCATATATATGTATGTGTGTGTGTGTGTGTGTGTGTGTGTGTGTGTGTGCATTAAAATGCTCTCGACACGACCAAGAAAGATGCCCTCCAGCCAGGTAATGTTCATGATATTCCATATACTAACATCGTAATTTAACGCTTATATAAAATACTGATGTTTACTCAATGAATTACTGACCTTGATAAGTACTTTTTGTCGAAATCATTTCACCGATTCAGGAAATATATATCGATAGATAAATAGATTATCGATACTCGAATGAAAAAAAGAAGTAAACTACCAATTGACGCATTTTATACCCAGAAGTAATATCTTCAGACTGGCTTTATTTCAGCCTATACATATAGCTACATGTTTACATCCCTAACGTTATAGAAACCGGGATTCTCAGTTCTGAATTTCAAATTTGACCTTCTGTGTATTTATATTGTTTAACTTTTCTCTTCTCATTCGTTTTTTATCACTTTTGCTTTTATTACAAAAATATGTTATTCGCTATATTCTGCTTTTGTGGACAGTCCAAAATTCAGGTATTAAAGATAGGTGAAGTTTTCATGTCCTTTTAGATAATAAATCCCCGAATAAAATAGGTAAAATAAACACAAAAGAACTGGAAGTGGATACTATAAAATAAAGATAAAATTACACGTTAAAACACACACACACACACACACACACACACACACACATATATATATATATATATATATATATATAAAAAAGAAAGAGGTTGTAGTGGTTCCAACGAGAGAAAGTGTGTGTATAAAAAAAGAAGAAGAAGGTGCCGCAAACGTTTTTGGTTTTAATGTGGACTTTTTAGAAAAAATGTTATGCTTTATTTTCCATAATTTTATTGTATGGAAAATAAAGCATAATATTTTTTTTTCTAAAAAAATCCACATTAAAACCAAAAAAACGTTTGCCCCACCTCTTCTTCTTTTAATTATATATATATATATATATATATATATATATATATATATATGTGTGTGTGTGTGTGTGTGTGTGTGTGTGTGTGCGTGTGTGTGGTGTGTTTGTGTGTGTCTAAAAAGTGCCTTGATCACATGGTCATCTACAGTAAATTTCGCGCCATGGCTCTTACATTTCACCGTTTATGGCAAAACATCTATCATCACACAGTGTGATAATAGAAGCGATGGAAAGAAAAAGTCTCTAAATGAATCGGTTAGTTTTTTTTTTTTTTAAATGAATAAAATGGATAATTCCCCGCATCCCTCGTTCGTGCGCATGTGTAGTCACAACAAATTTAGTCCAATAAAGTCCTAAAGGACGAAACGCGTCACAAGAAAACTTACATCTTCACCAATATTTTTCTTGATATATAAAATATATATATATTGTTATCACACACACACACACACACATATATATATATATATATATATATATATATATATATATGTGTGTGTGTGTGTGCGTGCGTGTAGAAACGGTGTATGTGTGTGTGCTATTGTCGGATGGTCGGCGACTAAACTGTCACTCCACTTCAATTTCTTGCGAGTGTGCCGGATTGTTAGCAAACTTGTATGACGGAAAATAAGACCGATAAAAGGGCCGAAAACTCTACGAGTCAACTAGAGGTTGTGTCCCAATAAAATCACCTTGCTGGGGAAGGTCGCTCCACTATCAATCCCAATAAAATTCATGACTTTCTATAATAACATTATCAATATATAACGGCGTTAATTGGGTTAAGTCTATTAAAATTAACTTCGCGTTCGCTAAGTAAGACAATGTGCAACTGGTGTCATCTGTCCATCATCCAGCGACTGCTAAAAGAACTGAAAAGCCCAACGACGTAAAGGGGGGGTCAGACTCCTTGGAATCTATCCTTCGCTCGGTAAGTGAATACCGTCACCCAGCCACTGTTCTCAGCAAACAACAAAATACATCTCCGACCATAGAATGTCAAAATAATTAGAAAATAGAAAGGAAGGAATAGGTTAAATGATAATATTTTAGGCTTATGCGAGACGGGATGGGCAAATAATGGCGATTTCGTCAGTGACAAACACAGGGTCATATATGCAGGCGGAGAGAAAAATTTCGAAATGAGTTGGACCAAGCCATGAAGAAATGTGTTATGGCTTACTCTCATCTATATGAAAGAAATCTTTAAGTTAAACTGCAAGGGAAGACTTTTAACATAGTTGTACATGTACTGACAGCACAACGTACAGAAGAAATTGAAATGTTTTACTGTACGCTAGACAACGCCTAGACTCAATGCAAATTATAAGAAAAAAGAATTGTCATATAAGACCTGAATTCAAAAGTAGGCAAATATGGTGAAATAGTTGGCAATTTCGGAATAGGAATTTATAATTCACGCAGAGAAAAACATCCATTTTTGTACGCCGAATGACCAGATAGTAGCCACTACCATTTTTTAAAAAAAAACACTCATGACATATGTTCACACAGAGCTCTCCTGGGGGAGGGGGACAAAATCCAATTGACTATGAAACTGTCAATAAGAGAGTTAAGAAGGCTGTTTTACAAGGGGAAACATATCCAAGTGCCGATTGCGGGAGCGACCGCCTTCCACAGAAACCATAGAATGAAACTATGGAAATTGTAGCGGGGCAATGCAGCACCTAAATTACAATCCGGCAGAATCTTGAAGTACACAAATGTGAAGGGAGAAATATAGGGACAGGTTAAAAGCAGATAAAATGGAGGAAATGATAATGGGAATTCGAAGTGTGATTCTTTAAGAGAAGCTTTAGTAACATTTTCAGTCTTCGGAAAAAGGACACTAGACAAAGACAAAAGAAATGGATAACAGATTCAATTCTCGGCATGATGAAGCCACACTATGCTCTGTTCTTAGCTATGCTGGATTGTATTGCCATTGACGACAGGTAGTGAAATTATGGTTGTCTTTTTTTCTTTCCTCTAAAAGTATCTAATGGAAATCACAACAAAAAGAAATAAAACTAAACCAGCTTACAAAAAACAACCAACTCTTTCAAATTTTCTTTCTTCAGTATTCGTGATATCCGTTCCAATTTCTGCAGCATAGAATTTTTTCTCCTCGAAAAGTCGCCAGATATTTTTTGCCCTATTGAACCAACTTGAATTCTTCCATTGCTACCAATGGATTTTTGGTTCCAGGGTATCTTCCCCTTTACCGAAAAGATTCCAGCATTCACATGCATGGCCTTAATGTTTACATCCGAGATAATCTTCTGATGGCCACGGAAATGTCTCTCGAGATAGCTGAATACTCTTTCATGTGCTTCCATCTTTCGCTACTAAACTCTGTCATCTATTATTCTTTATGGCTCCTCTTCTTCCCAAGACTGCAGTATATTAGACGCAATAGCTGATAGTATAGAAAAGGCACTTTCTCTCCATTCATCTGCGAAATCTTTGTCTTCGGTGACACTTATCTGAAACATTTTAAATGTACTGATGTTGCCGGTATACAGCCATTCAATTTTTCCATTGCCGAATCACTCACTTAAATCGTGGACTCGTTTCCTTAGCCAAACCGAGCAACAAGCTTCTCTAATGGATCTATTACTTACCTCCTCCCCCCCCGCTCTTGCCATGCTTCACAATACTTCCTTCTTGGTATCTCGGGCCACACTGTGATAGCTATTGATATCTCCTTCCAAGCATCCATTAAACAGGAAACAATATCCATAAGACCTCTTTCCAGTACCAACATGCTGATTGAAATTCATTCCGGGATTTACTCCGTGACGCCCATTTGACTGACATCTTCAACCTCGCAATTGAAAATTGCGCTACTGGTTTTTTTTTTTTTTTTTTTTTATTAATGCCGGCATGGACTCTTGCATCCCATCTAAGAAATACCAGGTGAAACTGGAATCCTCTCCATAGTTCACACCGTCATGCACAGCCGCCATAGCGTACATGAACCACTATTTCTGGTTATACCAGTGTCGCAACTGTCTTCATAATAGGTACCTATTTGCTACTGCTCGTAATAAATATAAGCGAGTCATCGAAAAAGCTAAGTCCCTATTTGCTAAGATAATGAGACACCACATAGCCCCTAAAAACTTTGGCTCTCGTGATTACCAACGTCTTTGTAATATGGTACTAAGCAAATATAAGGTCTCTGTTCCCCACCTCTTCGATCGATTTCATGTGTTATCTTCTTCCGCTGATAAAACTGACTGCTTCGTCTGTAAATTCTCCTCACACTCTACTCTTGATTCATCTGTAGTATCCCTGCCTAATTCCAACTTGGGACTGAGTCTCTTTTGAGTGATGTGTATAGAACCCTTTCCATTGGTTCTGATATCATCTCTAACCTTGATCGCCACAAAGCATGTGAACCCAAAGGTATCCCTGTTATAGTCATTAAGAAGTGTACTTCCGAATTAAACCCTGGTCTCACTAAACGGTATAATAAATGCCTCGTTGTAAACTAATCTCCTTTTTGCTGGAAGTCATCGTCTGGTGAACCATCTGATCCATCCATCTATCGGACTATTAACCTTCTGCCTCTTTTTGGAAAAAAATCCTAGAGACGCTAATCAATGCTGAATTGGTTCATCA